GCTGCACTTGTGCTCAGAGTGGCTACAAGTCGTGCAAACACTGCACAAGTAGGTGCACCTCCTGTCCGGTGCAAACGCAGGCCTGCGGCACTGAAGAAGCAGATCTCTAATCCTGGCCACATTGTAGGCATAGGACTCCTCATGTACTATTCCTGGCTGGCGTGTATTGAAGGCGACGATGTTGTTCCGAACGGTTGTGAACATGCTGATGGAGCAGATCTCTAATCCCTGCAGGAGGCACGATTATCACGCCGTTCAAGGATAAATGACGTCATTTTGGAGGCGGTGCTGGAGAGGGAGAACGTCCCCACCAAAGAAGAGGCATCTGCAATGGTCGATCTAACGATGGATGTGTCCGTTGTGTGTGTGTGTGTGTGTGCGTGTGTGTGTGTGTGTGTGTGTGTGTGTGTGTGTGTGTGTGTGAGAGAGAGAGAGAGAGAGAGAGAGCGAGAGAGAGAGAGAGAGAGAGAGAGAGAGAGAGAGAGAGAGAGAGAGCAGCAGCAGCAGACAAAGATGGCATTTCAAATGTGATTCAGGGATGGCATTGGACGGACTTGGGGTTCAGCATACGTCCTGTCCTCCGTTCCTCTTTCAACATGCAGTTTGTGGATGACTACCGTCTTACCCCGAACAAGGTACGTACCTTGCATTCAAGTTACCTCTGAAAAATGGGTTCTGAGAAATCACTGTTACTTGGGGTCTACCCTGTTTGAGATGTCGCAGTTTTTTTTTTTTTTTTTTTCTCGTTTTTTGCTGTACATGACCAGCAGCAGAGGCCGAGGTATGGATATGATATAAGCAACCTCAATGGGAGAGCACCCCCAGGCATAGTGGCTGTCATCTATTGCTGAGAAGCTACACCTGCTGGAAACAGTGTCAAACAGATGACAGCTAATGGGAGAGCACCAACAGGCACACTTACAACGACACAGGTGCCGGGTTCCCTCTTATATATTGTCAAACAGAGCAACAGACGAATATATTCCTTTAAAAAATTAGACCACTTATCATCGTAACGGATGTCATGAAGGACATCCCCTCTTATGGCACTACATACCTTGTGCTCGAATACAAGGTACCCCTTACCTTGTATACAAGGTACGTACCTTGTTTTCGAGTTAAGACTGTAGCCACTGGCCAGGGAGTTCCACCATGGATGTCTCTCCTCCTCTGAGCTTCCATAATGTCTGTTTGCTGCCTCATGTCCGCTTAACCTGTCCCCGGAGCAGCATGCTTAAGTCTGTCTATGATAGATCATGTACTGTTATAACTTGTAACATCAATTTTGTGATCTCCCTCACCAGATACATCCTCCTGCTGTATTTACCCCTAAGGGGATAGCACACTAACAAACTTCAATATCTTCCTGAAAGACATCACTCCAGAGTCATTTTTCTATTGTGCATCAGCATACACGCCGCACCTGGCAGAATGTATCAAGGTGCCACTACATCTGCCTGAATGTATTTTCTGCAAACTGGTACCCCAGTACAGCCCACCAGACACAGCACCCATGCAGCGGTGTCTTAAAAAAATGGGTGGGAAGCGTACCAGTGGTTGAATGACATCAGTTCACGTCAGCCTGGGTTGACATTTCTTCGTTCTGAGGTTACAAGGCCTCCAGTAGTTCGGATTAACAGTAGACACTTCATTGCACAAAGAGCACACAAGTCAAGCCCCTTATTACCCAATGATCTCTCTCTCTGTCTCTCTCTCTCTCTTCACCATCCCTCCGAGCCCCCCCCCAGCATTCTCGCCTTTCCACGAACACAACACACCCGGATAAGTCCCATGGGGCAAAAAGGAGATTCGCTTGACAGCAAACAGTTAGAGTGGGGGGAGGGGGGACAGGGCGCGCACAAGAGAGGAGTGAGGGGGTTATATATAGTCGGTGAAACTCCAACGAAACAGTTTGTCACAGCCCCTCGCTTGTTGTCCTCTTCTCCCTCTCTGCCTACAGTTTACGAGGCAGCTCTGTTTGAACTTTGAATACCGGGCAGCTCTGTTTGACAATGTATATATCGTCAAACAGATATATATATATATATATATATATATATATATATATATATATATATATATATATATATACATTGAAACTCCAACGAAACAGTTAGTCACACCCCCTCGGATGTTGTCCTCTTCTCCCTCTCTGCCTACAGTTTACCGGGCAGCTCTGTATACATATATATATATACATACACATACACAAGTCAGTGAAACTCCAACAAAACCATTTGTCACAGCCCCGCGTTTGTTGTCCTCTTCTCCCTCGCTGCCTGCGGTCTACTGGGCAGCTCTGTGTGACGGGCTCTTTCGTTTTCCCCGGAACACAATGCACCCTGATAACGAGAGTATACAAGCTATCTTTACCGCCGAAGTGATCATGCGTTCTCTTTTCGTTTTTCGTGTTCTTTTTTCTATTGTTGTTGTGCTATTTATTTTAAACCTATTTTACTATTTCAGATGTGCAGTCTCCCCGTCCAACATGGGAGGCTGTAAAAATAATACGACCTGGAAGTGCCGAGTGTTCTGCTTTTTGTTTTACCAGTCTGTTTTTTTTGCTCTAAACCTCTAACATTCCTTTTCTGTTGCTCTCCCCGTCACGGGTTGCGATTCAAGCAAGAAGCGGACATCGCGTCCCAAGATACTGAAGTCCCTGAGGTGGTGTCCCACCGCACCTGCATCCAAGTCCGGCTGGTCACTGCTCGCCGAGGCCAGAATGCATTTTATCCGGAATTAAATTCAATTAATACAATCATCCATCATTTTTGGATGCTGTGGTGGATCAGAACACCAGATTGTTTCTCGGCTGCTTATTCATTAGACAAAATCACATGCCACCGCGTCGGGCAGAAAGTACCTGGTCTCCGTTTCACTGGACATCCCATCCGCACAAAACCGGCCTCGCATGCAACCCATTTTGGCTGGATAGATATGCATGGAAACGGCACCTCGGGAAGTCCCAAGAGACACGGCAGCATGCACGCCGCATCAGTGAAAAATGGGTTGGGAAGCGTATCGGTTGTCTAAATACAAACGAAGCCGTCCACCCCAAAAGTAGTAGTACTAAAATGGCTGGGAAACATACTGGCGGTCTTAATGCAAACGAACTTACAAAGCCGCACAAAAGTAGTGCTACATCAGTTGCTCCGTGACGATCACGTTGCTTCCGCAGTCCTACCACCTACGTGTCATGGCCTCCCATGTGCACCCAGTAAGAACCCGACGCAGCTTGGGCAAACATGTGTTCTAAGTTTTGCTTATCGGCCTCGTCCAGGAAAGCAACCAGGGGCAGAGTAAGGAGGATTCAGTTGGAGGATTGAAGGCAAGCTGGTTTTTTGTAGGATGACTGCCGATTAGGCAAAAACCTGACTACGCTCAGCAGGTGTGCAGTTAACCACCCAGTCTAACCGGGGCAGTCATTGCTGGCAGCCAAAAGATCACATCTTTAAGATGCATATTTCTCAGGTGTTTCATCTGGGACACTGGACCCGTTTTCCAGCAGGTGCAGCTCCCCACCACTAAAATGGAGCACCCGGAACATGCACTAGTGGAGACTGCTCGTATCATCCCCACTAGCGACGGTGCTCTGGCATTTCCCAAAAAAAAAAAAAAAGGAGAAGAAGAAGAAATTGCATCTGTCACATATAAGTCGGTTAGCAGGTCACATGATCAAAGATCAGGATGACAGCTGTGCCACCGTCCATTCAGATGAAGCAAACTGAAATAGTGCCTGGCTCCACTAAGGCAATACCCTATATGTCTCCGGTGCTCTGTCTGATACATTCAAAATGTTGGACTCATCCCAATGCACCTGCACCTGTTCCAGAAAGCTTCCAAATGCATGCGAGAAGTTGCATAGGGTCGCCGCTGTAGCGAGGCCCATAGTGCAACCAACAGGAATACAGGCATAGTGGCATTATGTTGCGTACAAAGGATTTCCTCCGGATCATTTGATTCTGAAGAGGGAGCGAGCATTCACTTAGAAGGAAAGACGAAGAAACATACAATCAGACAGCCTTATGGACAAATGAATAATTGCCACAGGCAGCACAAAAGCGCATGGAATGTGCAGCTAGGCCAGGTGTCAGGGACAACATTGGTTGTTTTGACTTTCCCTACGATTCCTTCAGCGAAAAACGAATTGCCTCTTGCCGAGGATGAAGGTAGTAACAACATATTCATCAACTGTTCTTCAAAACAAATTTGATCTTCCCCCTGCCCTTCTTCAAAAACAGTTACCACAAAGAATCAGAGGAAATGCCTAAGACTTCCACCACATCTGCAGAGCATC